GTACACAAAAAGATGAGGTCATAAGTATCTGATGTAATGTAAGTATCAACAAAGATGATATGACAAGAAGTTCATTCGAGTTCTTACACTACACTATACGATAAACTTAAGTCGGTTTCGGACCAAGTGAGAACATTTGCTTCATATAAGAAACCCATCTCCCCTGTCTCACCTCTTAATTCCTGAAATGTTGAAGAGGTTAACTGACCAATAAGTAGAAAGGATGTGATTAATCAAGTCCCAAAAAACAAAATCAAACACAAATATACACCTTAAAAGGATGACTAGTTGCCTGGACCATTCCAGTAGCAATACCAGAGCTCACATTCAATTGTATCTTCTCTTTTCTTGCAATTTTGAATTTTCCTTATAGCAGGATTAACAAATTCGGGAAAACTGAAGGGCACAGTCAGAGTCTACTGGCCATCATTATAAGACAATTTCTGAGACAATTGAAGCTTAATCGATATAGAAGTACCCCCATCGACCTGGAAATATAAAACAAACATTCATCAGTAGAAACAATAGACTTACAGAAAACCGAGTTACATTATACATAACATTGAGACATGGATGCACCTTCGGTATTGTTATGGTAAATATATGAGGACTCACAAACACTCCGTCTTCTGGTTTCGCAGTGTTCTTAACACCCTTACTTTCTTCTACTCCGACTAGCTTAGTGGAATATGATTTTGTCGGAAGAACGACCTCAACACCTAGAATTGAACCCTGTTAGCCAAGTAATACATTATTGCTTGACACCATTAATAAGCACTTCAAACACCATTAGTTGAAAAGGAATCATTTTGAGCTAAGATCAAGACCAAAAAAGGCTTAAACCTAAATCCATCCTATTGACGATGGAGGTATACAAACTCGAGATCTATAAAGAGAATAATATCTTCTTTTACCAGCGACACATCGGGACGGCAATGCGACAGTTGCAAGAACGGCTACCCATAACACAATGAACCCTCCACGTCCCAGAAACCTGAACGAAGGCCGTGTCGCCGTCACAATCAACGTCGAGATTGATGGCGTTCATCTGGAGAGGAATCAAAGCGGGTCGATCCAGCCTCCCATGCACGTGAGGCTGGAACTTGGGATATCCGTGTTGTAGATGATCCTCGGGTCGAATATGACCGCATACACCATCGGCGCCGATGGCAAGTAAATGTGAGGTGACTTCTCCATCGGTGGTAGCGGCTTCGGTGGCGCTACCGCCCTGTCTTTCCCTAAGTATATCCGATTCCCTACCTTTAGCCCGTCCTACACCGCCTTTGCGAAATCCTCCGCCATTGTTTAACGAAAAAATCTCTCTTTAATCCTCTTTTTTTCCCCCTTCTTCTTCTTCTTCACATGGGAAAACGAAAGGAGATTGTTTTGGACAGAAAGGAACGGAAGACATTCATCTTTGCAGGGATCTGGGATTACTCGGGTGATCGGGTTCCTGGAATCGACATGACCACCTTATTCGTATTGCTCTTACATTTTTCGAATGGGATTGTATTTTATTTTATATAATAACAACGATGCATGCTTCACAACTAATTCAATGCTCAACTAATTACAGAATCTTGCATGGGATCTTAGTCCGACGTATATGGTTACTATTGTAATATTTAAAGGGTAAATTACATTAGTGGTCACTAAAGTATAAGTAAACTTCTTTTTTCAACATTAAAGTTTTACAAATAATGAAACAACCATTAATATTAGGATAAACTACACAATTAGTACCCAAATATCAGTTTCGGTCCATTTTAGTACCTAAACTTTCAATTTTTTCAAAATCATACCTAATATTTAGTTTTTGTTTCATTTTAGTACCCATCGTAAAAAACTTAACGTGTTCAGTACCTAAACTATCAATTTTGGTTCATTTTAGTACCTAAGCTTTCATTTCCCCCCCCAGATATTAACGTTAAATTTTAAACGGGTACTAAAATGAAACAAAAATTAAACTTTAGATATAATTTTGAAATAATTGAAAGTTTAGGCGCTAAAATGGATCAAAATTGATAGTTTAGGTACCAAATGTATAATTTATCCTTAATATTATCATTTAATAATGAAACGATCATTACTATTAACGTTTGCTAACAAATTGATAACTTAATCATTAACAACTATTACCATAGTCACGGAAGTTTGATATAACATGAATGACGTGACACATATGACATTAATTTTAAGTACATGTGAAATTATTATGTCAATAATATGTGTTAATCATATATCAACTAACGATTTTTATCAAACATGAGCTATTTTGATAGAAAAATTAAAATGTTGAGAACTAAAATATTAAAAAAAGGAATTAAAGTAACCATTTATATTGGACTAATTTTATCATTATGCCTATAGGCTTGATTTGAGACATAACTAAACATGGAGGACTCATACGTATTTCCACCAAAGTAAAATTGGAAAAAGACGCCGAAGCCCCCCCCTTTTCAAAGTATCGAAATGTTCCCGTAACATAAGGGTGCAATTGTAAAGAGGAGAAAGAAACCAAGAAATTATAATAATTTTAAAAAGATAAAAAGACATCAGAGGTCCCTGTATTTAAAAAAAGCCAGTGTGACCCTCATAATATTTTTTCTCAATATAACTCTCCAACTCATAAAATAAGCCTAATTTGACTCTTTAATCAACGTTTTTTGTCGTAGATCATTACAATGCTAATGTATTAATCCATGATACTGATGTAGCAGTCCAAGATATTGATGGATAGTCTATAGTGATTTGTCGTTGACCGTCATTCGGTTGGACCCCAGAATTGGGCTTCGACTTGAAAAATGGATTGGAGTCGCCACCGATCATTTATTTTAAACAAAATGGGTTGACCGGATACCTTATTTTTACTGATCCGCGTCTTACCAAAGATGTGTCGGATTCGGGAGTCGGTTACAGTCAAGGAAAGATTAAACCCCTTGAACTGTCCTTTCGGTACTATATAATTTCCAGTTGTCTTACTTAAGAAAATTGAAAGTTAAATTAAAAGGTAAAATATCGATATGAATTACTTACCTCTGATTGATTGGAAATGTACTCTTTAGAAGTCAAAAGACGTGTTAGAAAAAAAGACAAATAAATAATAGAGAAAGTAAAAACGAATGAGATAAAGAAAATAATAAGAAATAAATGAAATCAAAATGAGGCAAAGATAAAAATGAATAGGATAAACAAAAGAAGTAAAATGAAAAAATTGTAATAATAATATATACATGGCAAACAACTAAACAAAAATAAGACAATAATAAAAAATATATGTATAATGATGGTAATAAAAAATGGAACTAATGTATACACACCCGAAATAATAAATAAAAAAATGTAATATGCACAAATGAATATAATATACATAAAAGGTATCAAAGCAATAAGTATAATGTACGTCTATACAAAAAAATTATAAAAAAGTAATATATATATAAATAAGAAAATTAAATATTAGAAAAATAGTAATAATAAATAAATGAAAAAAAGAGGAGAAAAAAACATATATGTATTAATAAAAATAAATACGCATATATAATAAAATATAATAGAAAAAAACTAGAAAATTTAAAAATATATATATATATATAAACAAATAAATGAATTAAACTGCTCAGGGACTAAATTGAAAGAACCATAGGCTAGAAGTAAAAATTCAAAGCAATATTAAGGTGTGAATTCAATTCTGGGTCAAAATAGCTCTTTAAAATCAACGAGGGATCAAAAGGGTAGTTGACCCTATTTTTAAAAAACACGGGGATCTACTCGGGTCATCGGGTCGGGCGCATGGATCGTATAAAGGCCAAATTTTGACCTGAAATTATCATTTCCTCCATTTGAAAAACGCAGTCCTCCTCCCCCCATTCATTTTCTCTCAACGTTCTTCACAAATGAAGAACAAACGCTGTGGTTCTTGGTGCCCAGAATTCGGCCACCCTAATGCCGCCTCGCCGTCGCCTTTCAACGGCCGCAAAAAAAATTTGTTTGTTTTTTTTATTTTTTTCAAAATCTCGAAAGCTTTTTCACCCTCTTTTCAAAAAAAAATCAAAACCCTCTTTTCTAAAATGCAACCCCGAGGGCTAGATCTGGAGATAGGTTTTCGAAAAAGGGCCTCGCTTTGCTTCATTGGCCAAAAATTTCTCCTTTTGGGGTTTGAATCGAGAATAACACGAGGAAAACGACATGCAAGCTACCAAAACGAGGAAAGGTACGAACTTTACCTTTAGTTCTTCTCAAAAACTCAAAAAAGGTTTCGGTTTCGCTCTGATATTTGCTTGAAATTTCTGCTTTTATTTCGTGTAATCCCAATCCCCTTACAAATGGATGATTACATTTATTTATAGCTTTGATTTGTGCTATTTTTGGACCTATTTGATTCCTAATATGACTAATATTTGCTTGTTGACGGTGCGAGATCCTTGCGTGTTGTTGGTGGTTACCGTGAAATCCGGTGACAGTTACGTGCATGACCGGAGGCGTGGGGACTTCAGCCATGGGTGATAACTCCTTGCAGAGTTGATGGAGTGTGTGAGCTAGGGTTTCCAAAACCCTAACTGGACCGACTCTATTTGGGTCACTAGGCCGTGTGTACAAGACCACTGCTGGGCCTATCACAAAAACTAAGATAAATATATGTTATAATAATATATAATGTAAATATACATATGATATTAATTAAACGGGCATTGATGAAATTAAGTGTCTTCATGATTAATAACGTAACTATCAACTAAGTTAAATTGATAACTCAAACATGATAAATGAACTATCACATTAATTTCGTAGATTTTCACATTAGTACTGTAATAATCAAATGACGAAAAAATTAATCAAGAGTCACATCTAATTTATTTTCTAAATTAAAAAATTATATTAAAAAACACACGACAGTGATTGATTTTCCCCCAAAATTATTAGACCTACGCATTTTTGCCCTTTAAAAAAATATTCTTGCTTTTGACCAATAAGTGAGTTTTCTTCATCCCTGAGTGAACTCGAAAGAGGCCTAAAAAGCGCTTGGCAATTTCGTTCTTGGGGAAATAGCTTTCTCTTATAAGTAAGAATCTCTGCAACCAAAATCCCATAAACAACAAAAAGAAAAAGAAAATAATTCCAAAGAAACAAGAGAGAAAATGAGTCGAGGAAGTGGAGGCGGATACGATCGCCATATCACCATCTTCTCTCCCGAAGGTCGTCTCTTCCAAGTCGGTATGTATATGTATATACTCACTCTACTCGCCTACTTTTGTATTGGTTCCTATTAATAGCTTTGGACCAATTTTGATTTTGGAATGAATTGAGCAGAGTATGCGTTTAAGGCAGTGAAAGCAGCTGGGATCACATCGATTGGTGTTCGAGGAAAAGATTCAGTCTGTGTTGTTACTCAGAAGAAAGTTCCTGTCCGTACCCTCCTTCAATTTATTTATGGGTTTTCCTTTTTGGGGTTATTTAAAAGGTTTTGGCGATCTGGGTGTTTAAGTTTTTTAAATAATGTAATGCAGGACAAGCTTTTGGATCAGAGTAGTATCACTCATCTTTTCCCTATTACCAAGTTCCTGGGATTGTTGGCTACTGGAATGACAGGTTTAGTTTTGTTGAAATGCCATTTTTATTTGGTATTTGATTGATCGAATATGAAAGATTTTTGTTACGTTGACTAGTAAACTAGGGTTTTCTGGAGAATAAGGATTTTGGGTTGATATTCCTAATTTTAAACTTAAAATAGTCTAAATTAGGGTTGAATATTTTCTCCAAAGTTGCATCCAAGGTTTGGAAGCTATGAAAATGTCAATTAGAACGGAATGGTTTTCTAAATAAATTAACTGTTACTAACACTGGCATCACATAATGATAAACTTTCTATCGTTAATTTGCTTGCCAATCTTTAGCATAGAACTCAAATATATTTTTATGGCTACATTAGGTTAATGTTCAAGGCTAAAATTCCTTTATTGTTATGCAAATACTTTGAGAGGGTTGCTTTTCTAATTGGCATTATTGCTCTGCAGCTGATGCGAGGACCTTGGTCCAGCAAGCAAGGAATGAAGCAGCCGAGTTTCGGTTCAGATACGGATATGAGATGCCTGTGGATGTATTGTCCAAATGGTATGGTTTCTTATATCCTCTTAAGTTGAAATCCCCTTAAGACTGCAGACAATGTACTCTATGTTCTGAATATAATCTTGTGTCAAAAACCAGTAACTGACCTCATTTTATATTACTATTATTTTGAATTATTCATTAACTTTTCTTTGATGTTTGGGGTTCTTGTGATTTCAATGATCATACAGCTTATTTAGAATAACATGCTTTATTGATGTAGGATTGCCGACAAATCACAGGTTTACACTCAACATGCCTATATGAGACCTCTTGGAGTTGGTATGTGTATTTATTCTTCAAAATCTTACAAATTTGGTTTTGTTTTTAATAATTTGTCTTTGTCATAGAAGATTTATGATTTTTCAGTTTGTTAACTCACGTAAGCTGCTATATGCAAATGTATGTACGAGCAACTTTCTCAAATTTTACTTGTTAATAGCTTTCTTACTATTTTCTGTGAAGTTGCTATGGTTTTGGGTATTGATGAAGAGAAGGGACCCCAACTCTACAAGTGTGATCCAGCAGGCCATTTTTATGGTCACAAGGTAGTTTTCAAATTAATTTTTATTGCCCGTTGAGTTTGAATCCTTGACTTTGGTTCTCAGCACCTTGTTCTGGAAGCATATTGTATTATCGTAGTTAGGATTCATTGCTGTTTTTCTCTAATATTTCTCTTTGACTTATTATTCACATAGACCTTTATTTGCGTTACGAAGGTAGTAATGTACTTGCTGAACCCCCCCAAACCACAAATTGTTTATGATAATGAAAGACCAGAAAATCATAGATTTCGGAAGGTCGCATCCGAAAAAAGTTCTTAGAATGGGAATTGTTCAGCAATCTCATACCTGGCTATCCACTACCCATCATATATTCATATCATGGGTGTTTGCTGGCACGAGTTGATATAAACTATTTCATTTTCTTTGTACTTCTCCTTGGGCATGAAAGTAGCATGTTTGTTCTCCAATCTGAGCTGATAGGTGCAATAACATGATTCCAAATTATTTTTGACTAATTTTAGGATAAGCATTTTGACGGTGGGATGAATTTTGACTGATATGCTGCAGGCAACCAGTGCTGGATCCAAAGAGCAAGAGGCAATTAATTTCTTGGAAAAGAAGATGAAGAATGACCCTGCTTTTACTTATGAGGAAACAGTGCAGGTATGTATATTTTATTTTTCCTTTATGCACGGTAAAGGATGTTTCCAAAGACCGCATTTATCTAATTGTTCCTATTACTACTATTCTGCAGACTGCTATTTCTGCTCTGCAATCTGTTCTTCAAGAAGATTTCAAGGCTACTGAGATAGAGGTATAATGACTCAGCTGATCCTTCTACTTGCTAGCGGTTACAGTATTTGATATCTTGCCATTATAAGTTTGCAACTATAGATAAACTGCATAATTAGCATATATTTTGGCTTAAGGAAACACCAGTAAGCAGTAGTTCAAAGCTATCTGGTTTTAACTACCATTGAATCCTTTATAACCTCAACGTGAATCTGAAAACAACCTGCTAGGGGGTTGTCCCAGACATGTGAAATGCACCACACATGTATTTGTATTTGTAGCCAAATGGACATGCCAGTAGTTAAAAGACCTATAACACAATATCGATGTGGATTTGAAAACTACCTAGTATGAGGTTGTCCAGACATGTGGAATGCACCATACATAACTTTTCTAGCCGAAGGTTAACCGTTAACTACCATGTAATCACGTATGTAACCTACTAGAAAGTGATACACAATGCCAATGGGGATTTGAAAACAACCCACTGCCTAAATGTCCTTTGTTGGTTTTGATAGGCTGCTTATAGTTTAATCTCAGTCTAGTTTAGTTGATTTTGTTTCTCTAATGTAAATGCATAAATATATTCCCGATAGTGGTTGAATTGTTGTGTCCCCTGTATTTGAACTGTAGTTGACATTAACATCTTTTAATGTTTGGCAGGTAGGAGTGGTGAAAGCTGATAATCCAGTTTTCAGAGTGTTGTTGACAGAGGAAATAGATGAACATTTGACAGCTATTAGCGAGCGCGACTAGTAAGCATTAAAAGACCTTTCTGTTATGATTTGAAACAACAAACGTGTTTTACTTGACCATCATGTTTGAGTGGGATTGGAAGAGGGCTTAGAGCTTACAATTATGTTTTGTATTACTGCTTGAACCTTTAAATACATTCACGTTACTGGATAATTGTCCTAATTTGTTGCATGTCTGTCAATTACTGCATCAATTTTCTCTTCTGTCGATGGTGGTCTACGAGCATTAGCATGTGCTTTAATATGTTCATGGGGGTGGCCATAGTCATTATATGGTCAAGTGGGGTGGTCTGTGGTGGTGGGTCTTTTTGTTTCTTTCGTTGCCCCGGACGATAACAAACAGGTTGCAATTTTCGCTTGGTGTTGGATAAAAGAAGCGTTTGAAAACAAACGCAAAATAAAACAAGAAATAGATGGCAACATCCGTATCTCTCTTCAAAATCATTTGCTACCAAACCACAAGGCATCAGTTGTAGTTATCTGGCCCCAAGCAACAAAATGGAAGGAAAAGAAAAAAGATTCCCTTTGCCGGTGGCGGCTATCTAAATGCCATGATGGTCGTGAAAGGCCCCTGTTTTCCACAAGGAAGCTGCCATTGCCACACCTCTATTACCGGCTTCGGTTTTTGTCCCATCGGAAGAAGAGTGAACTGATCTTGCACATGGCTCGTTTGCCTTAACCACAGATATTGTTTTCATTTTACGACATTGAATTACAAGCTTTCATCTGCTAGAAGAAACAAACCAAGTAAAATCCGTATTGGCGAGAAGATGATGAGTCGAAACACAGAGATGATCATATGAAAAAGACCCAACAATGTTTACATAAAAGTGGAGAGCCATAAAAAGGTGGGAAATGGTGGTTCAGGGAGGATGTTTGATTGAGAAAAACCTGTGATGATTGTGAATTACTCCAAGCACTAGGTATCAGCTGAATGAGAGAAGATAAAAAGAACAAGACCCATTGTGGTCAAAAGTTTATTCTTGTGTGCATATATGTATGAATCTTATCACCAATCATTTAATGATAAAAAATATAAATAGGCAAAAATGTATAAGAGAGGTCTGTACTTTTGAAAAAAAAATCAGCTCTTGTATTATTTTTTTCTTTCAATGTGATCATCAAACTCAGAAAACAAACTTAATGTGATCATTTAACAAATAATTTTTGTTATTGACCGTTACATTACTAATGTGTCAATTTACGGTAATAACATGGTGATCTACTATACTAATGTGACAGTCCATCTTCCAGAGTTTTTAATTTTACCAATTTATCATATCATCGCCACGTTAATTAAAAGTTAACATAATTATTAGATAATGTGAAGAATAGACCCACATGACATAAATCTCTTTTTCACTTTACCTGTTCATCTCCCTCCCCAAAATAAAGTTAAACTGAAAACATTTCACACACAAGTTAGAAACAGAGAGAGCAAAAGAAGGAATATTCAATTTGTGCTCCCTGTAATGGCGATTTCAAGCTTAGATACTCAAAACCCACCGAGCAAAGCGACAGCTCCCATTGAAATCCAGTTCGTTAAATGCGAATCCTGCGGCTTCACAGAGGAATGCACCTTTTCTTACATCCTCCGTGTCCGGGAACGCTATCAGGGCCGTTGGATTTGTGGACTCTGCATCGAGGCCGTCAAGGACGAGGCTCGGAGATCGGAAACGCTTATCTCCACCGAGGAAGCGCTGGACCGCCACATCAGGTTCTGCAATGAGTTCAGGTCGTCGAGCCCTTTAGAGAAACGCTGCACCCCATCTCTGCCATAGGAAGGATTCTTCGTCGAAGCCTGGATTCACCCAGACCTCTCAGGTCGGATTCCGGTAGCGCCTCTTCTTCGGTCTGACTGCCCCTTTTAGGCTTAAATTATTCTAGTTTAACGGTAAGTAACATGGAAAAGAAAGGAGGAAACAGAGTTCTGTTTCGATATCAGATTGTTATATACATAAATAAATTGCTCTACACTTTGGCATCTGAATTCCATGGAGCTTCCAGTATATATACATACATATATGTATGCATATGATGAAAAGCTTCGGCTTTAGACTATTTAGGTATGTTCTTTTTGTATCTGTTTATGCATTATTGTTGAGTTGAGCATGATCCAGGCTTATATTATGATGTTCCAAGTAACTTGCTGTGTCCGAAGCTGACAAAAATGGTGAAGCTTGGTCTGGTTTCTCTTAGCTTTGCATATTAAGGAGAGAAGATTTGGATACTTGTGGCATGAACAATGTAAACAGAAAAGAAGAAGATGAAGACAGGAAACGGAAGTGCAAGAAAAATTCCCAAGAAACAAAGAAAACAGATGAATCTAGCTTAGACTAATCGTGTTCTATGTCTCAGCACAAATCTGGTCGCTGAGAATGTCTGCAGACATGCAAAATCTAACCAAAAAACCATATTAAAAAAAATCAAAACGTGGGACAGATTCCACTTGGAAGAAACCAAGATTAGTCAGCTGCCATTGTTGCTGCAGTCTCAAACAGCAAGATGTTGCAATAAAAATATCTCTCCCCCCCCTGTTTTGACAAGAACGTGAAAATTCGCGACATTTTTGAAAAATCGTTGCCTATAAGCCAAGTCACTGCTCCTGGTTCTGCTAGTCAGCTATCTGTTTGACATGGAATTCCTTTTTCTGATGTTCCATGGATTAATGGATCCAGTAAGGATTCGTCTGCTGCACTTTTTCTGTAGTGGTTTCATCTAACCTATATTAAATACCCCTGAAAGAAATAAAATTATTAGAGGGAGTAGAGCTTGGGGAAACCTTATCTGTATACATACATTTTCCACCTCGGTTGTAGTGCTATTTCAGGTTTAGGGTTCTTTTTCGAGTGTAGCCGGTTGCTTATTCGAGCGAGTCGATAGCGAGTTAGACAATACTCAACTCGTGTTCGTTAAAAAATTTTGTTGTCGTTAAACTTGTTAAATTTTTACTCGACTCGTTACTTGTTAAGTTTAATGTTCGTTGGTCGTCTAATTTCTCCTTAAGTTCATCAAAATTTTTATATTATTTTCTTAACTATTGGTAAAATCTACTAATATTATATATAATTTAATATAAACATAAATTAATAAATTTAACTAAAAAAATTAAAATAATGTATGAAGCAATTTTAATTTTTAAAGTCTAAAATCCAAAATAATAATCCATAAATACATTAAAATAATAAATAGGGTTTATATTTGGGTATAGTAAAATATTAGTTAATAATTTAGTTTTTTTGTTTATTAGAAAAATAATATATTAGCAATTTACCATCTTTTTATTATTTATTAGTAAATTAATAAATTTTTATTGAAATTATTTTTGAAGATAACTACTAAAATATTATATAAAAAATTAACGAATTGCTCACAAATTTATCGAGTCGAGTTGGACTTTACTCGACTCATTCGTTAAAATATCTAGTCGAACTCAAGTTTGAGTCGAATCAACCTGAATCGAATTTTTATCGAACTTTGACAAAATCAAATTGGAGTTGTTCAACTCATTAAGCACCCCGAGCACCCACGTTGAAAGCAATGGAGATGAACTCGAGACCCCAAGAGATAATAGTTATCTCTTAACCACTAAGATTGTTTAGTTAGTTTTTAACTAATGGAGTGAAACGTTAATGAAAGGATAAAAATAAAATAAAACCGATAGTTTGAAGATTGATACATAATACTTTAGAGTTTAGGAATCAATTTAGGATTGTTATAATTCGGAGACTCATATGAAATGTTTTAAAATTTAAAAACTAATTTAAGATAAAAATAATAATTTAGTGACATATTATGCAATTATCTCGAGAAAAACCTTTTATTCTCCCATTGTTTTCAACATTTATTCCATTTCCGGGCTCCACCTTCCGATCTTCCTTTCATCTTCCATTCTTGTCTGTGTTGTTTTTAGGGTTCATTCGATCGGCAAAATTCGGACAAGATGATGCACATGACCTTATACTGGGGAAAGGATGTGACTCTCCTCATCGATTCCTGGAAGACCGATTCATGGCTGAGTTACCTCCTAACCTTACTCGCTTGTTTCATCTTCGCTTCCTTTTACCAGTACATGGAAGATCGACGCCTCCGCTTCAGATCCCTCGCTTTCTCCGACCCATCTCCGCCTTCCTACGGCGGCGGATCCGCCGTTCCTCTCCTCCCTAATTACCGCAATTCGGCTAAATTCGCGACGGCCTTGCTCTTTGGTTTCAACTCGGCTATCGGGTACCTCCTGATGCTGGCCATCATGTCGTTCAACGGAGGCGTTTTCTTGGCCACCGTTTTGGGTCTGACTGCTGGGTACTTGCTTTTCCGGTCTGCCGATGACGAGAAAGTGGTGGTGGAGAACGTTTGCGCTTGCGCTTGACGCCGTTTATCCCCCCCCCCAGCAATTCAAGTAATGGTATTCGCCTTCAATTTATATACTGTACCAGAATCACGAATACTTAATTTGCTCTTGAATCATGTAGCAATTATCTTGGCTTTTTTCAATCAAATATCCTTCTTTTTAATTTCCCGATCTGATTATTTCTTCATAATTTTCTTGGTTTAAGTTGATTTTGATTCAAGGAACGAATCAAAGAAAACATGTGCATTCATCTGCCATAATTGCTTGCCGTTAGAATATCATGAACTACTGTTTCGTGTTCTAAAAAATGTCCCTTTTCCCAGAATATTTAGCTTTAAATTTGTTAACTTTTTCCATTAAAAATGGCTGCTTTATCAGTTGATTTCTAAAGCAGAATGGAATTTGCACAAACCAGAAAGCTTGATGCTCTGCTCTGTCCTGAAATAAATAAGCAAGAATGGAATTTGCAGCTCATTTGATTCCAATTTTTTTAGTGATACAAATCGAACGAAACAAGCAAAATTAAGCATTCCCAGTATTAAACAAGCTTATACATGGATAATTAAAGACTTCTCTTCTTTAGCTCCCATGGAAATTCCTTGATCAGCACTTGGTAGATTCACCATAAATGTAATCAAGAACAGCAATGACTCCGAAAACAAAAGCTTGATCGATTCCGGGTTTCACCACTACATGATAAAGATCTTTACTTGCCATCACCTCCTCCACTTCCTTCTTGACTCCGATCTGTCATTCACACACGAATTAAGACTTAGAACACTCGATACTCGATACCGTATTATAACATCGGCACATATGAACTACCTGAGCGACAATGTTGCCGACAGAATCAACGATGCTGCAATCTCTTTCGGGGAAATAACCATTGATCTCATAGTCCCAGTTTTTGGTGCTTTTTGGTTCAGTGCAGATTCTTATGGCATTGTTCTTTGCGAGACATGAACGAGGCTCCTTCAGGGTAAAAACCAACTTTTTTTATCCTTTGTAGTCGGATGTGTAACCTTTCCATCTTTTATGTATGCTCAATGCCTCAACCATCCCGCCCTGAAGTATAAGAATAAAAAACTCGAACATGAATATTATACGAAGTTACTTGAATAAATTGCCATCTCTATTGGAGACTAATTTGAGAAGCAATTATCCTCATGATGATCACTTCACAATTCCATGTTATCATGTTCTTTTTTACCTTTCCATCTAACATGTTCCTGCAAAATAAGCCCGCAAGTTCAAGCTTCTTCATTGGAGTTGATTGATTCAAATGCATGCATACAATAGGAAAACCCCAGATACGTTACCTTTCGACGAATGAGAAGCAAAGCATCGCCTTTTGCGTCTCTCAAAACGAGCTCCCCTTTGGTACCGAGAACGCCACAACCGTCGACCCGGAAAACAATCACCTGGCTACAATTCGTCACCACGAAACCACCTCCGTTCACCACGTGTGGTCTCCTCCGAACCACGAATACCACCTGAGAAGAGGAGCAGTACAGCTTGCTGATAACCGGCATTGTATTGGCTTTTGTCGCCATGGATGATATATATAGATATAATGTTCTGAAGTTCTTAGCTGTAAACTCTGAGACAACCTATACTTATAGATATAATGTCTGGAGTGATTACAAGAAGAGTGAAGGGTTTGAAATTGTTTTGCTTCTATGTTGAAAGATTAGGCAAAGTTGTTTGACTATTGCCATACGTAGAATACGTAAAATACGTATTGGCAAAGCATTGTGGATTGAATAGTAATTTGCTTGTAGAAGATGAGAACGGCAACGCATGCGCCACTCTATAAGCCTTACCCAATGATCTGAAAGCGTGCAACAAGTCTGGATCATATTGTTCTTCTTTGGTCAAACTGTAAGAAGGTCCTTGTATTATACATTTTCGGCTAATCTAGCCCCCTTTTTTTTGTAATTCGATTATTTATGATTGGTCGTGTCTTATTTTCTCTAATCATGTCATTATCAGGTCACATTATATGTATGCTTCAATTTTAATGACTAATGCCTTGTTTATTACAAGACTTTAATTGAGTGACTGAATTATAATCTTTTAGAAAAAAGTCGACTCGTTTATTACTAAACACATAATTGATTGGCTAGGGGTGTGCTTTACTCACATATAACTTTTATAATTTTTAGAGCGAATTGGAACAATTTTACCATTCCAGGGGGACACACCCCTGCCAAAACCCTGATTTGTCACAGAGTAGGACGAATATTATAACATTAGTGGCATTAAATTCACCAAACACATAATTCAAGGATCTTTTATAATATTTGACCTTTCTTTCTTCCACGTGAAGGTATCGCTTTGCATGTAGATTGAGTTTAGGAGCCAAGGTTTTCAAAAAGGGTTTCTGAAACCTTTGACAAAAATTTGGCAGGTGGCTGGCCGGAAAAAGGAATATCGGAGTAGTAAAATCTACTAACAAGCAAGTCTTCAATGACCGATGAGCAAAAGACTCGATGTAGGGACGAGTAAAACTCGATTCGATTATATTCTTTTTAAAAGATAATATTTGAATCATAAAAAGTTAAAACATATGAATTCAATTAATTCAAAATTTTCTGACTCGATTTGATTGGAAATTCACTCTTTACTTGATGGACCATTGTTGTCCTTAACCAAGTAAAGGTGCCTTCTTGAAGCTGGCCCAAATGTTTCTCGATTCGTTATTATTTATCTCTTATATCCTTTTATTTTATTAAACTAAAGTGATTACAAAGTAGATATACGTTCTACATTTGACAATCAAAGCTCCGGTCACTTACGAATTTTTACCCTAAAATCCCATCAAATTATGAATTAAGTGAAACTTCTCTAAATTAAATCAGAATCAAATGATAAACAATATATATATATATATACTTAAATTAGATTATCTATATTTTTAATCGTTATAACCTTCATTATTAGGGGTGCTTATCGAGCGATTACGAGTTGGATAGTGCTAGACTCGTGCTCATTGAAAATATTTGTTGCTCGACTCGACTCGTTGCTAGTTAAGCTAGTTAAAATTTTTCTCGACTCGTGCTCATTAAAAAACTTGTTGCTCGACTCGTGCTCATTAAGCTCGTTGCTCATTAAGCTCACTGAAATTTCTATCTTATTTTTTAATTATAGCTAAAATCTACTAATATTATGTAAAGATGAATATAAACATAAATTAATAAAATTAACCAAAAAAATATCAAAAGAGTGTATGAAACAAATTAAATGTCTAAACTCCAAACTAACAATACACAAATAAATTAAATAATAATTAGAGTTTATTTTTTGGTGTAGTAAAATTATAATTATTAATTAAGAATTTAGTATTTTTTATTTATTAGAAAATTAATAGATTTGTCATTTATCATCTTTTTTATTATCTATTACTAAATTAATATTTTTTAATAAAATAATTTTTTTAAGAAGACTATTAAAATTACAAAAAAAATTAACGAGCTACTTGCGAACTTATCGAGTCAAGTTAGAGTTTGCTCAACTTAGTTCGTTAAGTCTCGAGTCAAGCTCAAATTTGAGTTGAGTCAATCTAAATCAAGTTTTTATCAAATTTTAACCGAATCAAATTCAAATTACGCACGAGGTGCTCAACTCATTAACACTCCCTACTTATCCATAACATCAACATCTTTTATAAAAATAATTTCATCGATATCAACATAATTTGTTTTAAATAATCTGGGGTAAGTACAAGGCAATATATGTTTGAAGATAATTCTTAATCTTTTAGGATTTAACGTTCACACTCTTTACATTTATAGTACTCGAACCCGACTTTCTAGAAATAACAATAATTTTTTATTACATAGATTATTTGATTCATGCATTAACATAAATTTCGATTATATTTAAGGAGACAACCATTAAATTAAGAATAAAATTATTCAATATATTATTATTTTTCTCATTGAAAAATTTCTTTTCCAAAGTAAGAGCTGATTCTTCGTTGAACAGTGAAATAACCCTAAAAAGGACTTTTTTTAATATTGAAAAGAAGGATTAATGCCCAAACACTATGCTTTTTTTTTTGTCAAATAAGTGTCTACAATTTTTTGACTCATCTGGGTGCCTAACGTTACGAACGTTACATTTTTAGGTGCCCAAGTTGTTAACGCCGTTAGTTTTTCTTGTTAAGTGCTGCGTGTTAACACCTGATAATTTTGAAAATTTATTCTTTATAAAAATATAAAAAATGTTATTATGTTTATAAAAAAAACTTAACTTTTCTTATATTATAAAACAACCACAAAATATTAAATCCTAACCTTAATCCATCACAAGTGTCTTATCCGGTCACCACTGCCGTCGCCAATGTAGTTCTTGACATCATCCTAGTTATATGCCGTCGTAATTGTTGTCGATTCACCGACGAAATCGTGTGGGATCATAATTTTCATCCTAGGGTTTGTGAGATTTAAAATGTCGATTTGTGGTCGAGTGATCGTCAACTATCACGATTTCATAGGGGTTACGGTCGCCGGGGGGTGGGGAGATCGGGTGGAGCTTCTTCGATGGTAAAGGGTGGCGATTGATGTAGGTTTAGGGGTTGAAATGAAAGTTTTTAAAGTTTAGGGGTTATTTCAAAATTTATGTTTTTCCTTTTTAAAAATATATAATTTTTTTTTAAAATTTATATAAATTTTTTAAAATTACTAGGTGTTAATATGTGTCACTCTAACGGTATCTGGGCACCTAAAAAAGTAATATTTATAACATTATATACTCAAATGGGCAAAAAAAAAACTGTAGGCACTTATTTAACACAAAGGGATAATTTAGGCAATTATTTAGGAATTAAGGCTAAAAGGAAAGAAAGAAAAGTATTTTTCAACTCCTACGCAGATGTCACGTGCAATCTGAGGGTACAACATGGTGCTTTCCGCTTCTCCGCCTTCTGCATTTCACCACCCAAATCCCTTTGAGAATGAAAGACTGAAGCTTTAGCTTTTATAAAGAAATGGGTTCGTGCAAGGAGTTGCAGGCTTTTTTCACTGCCGTCTTTACCATTATTATTATTACTATTATTGTAGTAATTCATTTCCATGCACAAAGGTTGTGTCTTGATGAAATATCACAGCTTTGTTCCTCTCATCTAACAATGATGACACCCTTTTTACCCTCATTATGCTTATCTTCCTTTGTTTCTCTTTGGAATCACCATTTTAATCTCTTCTTCTGCAACTTTAAATGTCACTTTGTTTTGGGGTTTTGAAACTTAAAAAGCAGCCCTTCACCATTTCCGCCCTCACAGGTCTGAGGTCTCCACCACCATAACCCTTCATTTACATTGTTCTACAGCTTTTGCTTGGTATTTGTAGCTCTGGGTCGTAACTATCCTTGTCAGAAACGTTAATTACTGCTCCTGCCACTGTCAAACCCCCCAAAAAAAAAACCCCTTTTTTTCTCTCCCTCTTTTGTATTAGCTTTCACACCCAACATTAGTTGCAGCTTCTTGTCTACATTGCTTATTAGGGAGTGGGGTTGATAGTGAAGAAAATAACCAAAGACGACTTTTTTTGTTCTCTGGTTGTGACCGGAGAATCTGGGTTGCACCGGGGAATTAATGGCTGCAAAAACAGGTGGTGGTTCCGTTGTTCAGCCTCTGCATCCACCATGTCCAAAATCACCTCCGAAGTATCCGGATTTGTATGGGAAACGAAGGGAAAAGGCTAAAGTTCAGATGCTTGAGAGAGAGATTACTTTTCTTGAGGTGTGTTTTTTGATTTGAGATACTCATTTTGTTTATTATTATGCTTAAGATTACTTAATCAGAACATGAAAAAGAACAAAACCTGCTGTAGTTGACCAGTTGTAGTGTTTTTTTTTCTTCACATTGTAGCTTATACTGGAGACTGTTGTTTGCAGAATGTTCATCTTTAGATTGATACACAACTCTAAGGACTATTAGTTATTGATATAAACGTAAAATTATTAGCATTAATTAATTTCCCTGGTTGAAAACTGGATTTATTTGATTCATCAAAAACCCTCATCCACCAGTTTTTGTTCATGTATGTTATGTTAATCTCTGAATCATGTAAACCTTTTGAATTAGCTAAAACTAGCAATTTTAGATTGTTAGTTCCTTTTGATAGACGCATATTGGGTTGCACCAGGACCCTGAATTTCCTAATCTTTGGTCCAATCTGTATGCATCAGCCTATATGACAATTTGTCGAATAGATTTCGTATCTCGGTACGGTATGTTTAATGCCTGCACATTATAGTTATCATCAGCTCGTATGTGAAAAAAACCATCTTATGCTAACTAGGATTTAACTTTTGAACAGGAGGAGTTAAAATCTGTTGAAGGTTTCCAACCGGCTTCAAGATCCTGCAAAGAGTATGCAGTCTCTAATGATCTTGAATACAATCTTGTTGACCATTTGCTTATTTATTGATACATTCTGTGTATTAGCAGATAATGTTTATGTTCATTGTTTCTTCTTCTTCTCAGGGTTACGGATTTCGTAATGGCAAATTCGGATCCTTATATACCACCGTAAGTGCTAAAACTGCCGTCGATTTCGTAATTAGTTAAGGTTTATAAAGAGCATGTAAGCCTTACCTTTTATCTTTTGTTCCTAGTAGCAGTAAGAATCCAAAATCATGTGGCTTTTGGAAATGGCTTTGGTACCAATTTCTTGTCCTTCCATGTATATAATTATACTTATTATATGGTAATGCAACTGCATGTTTATATGCATTAGCTCCTGTCTTATGACATGGGTTTTATTCTTTGGCAGTGGATTGCCCTGCTGTAACTCGCCATGCCTCTGCTGTTGCTGTAATTCCGGGTGCAGTCGCTGCGATTGTAATCTATGTAACTGCAGATCATGTGACTGCATGTCCTGCAACTGCTGCAGCTCTTTGGATGAAGAGCCGTGTAGATGCGGTTCATGTAAGTGCAGCGCATGTGATTGCAGTTCGTGTTCTAGCTGCTGCCGGGCTCCGAAATGGCGGTGCTGCTCTTGTCCTAAACCACATTGCTGTAGTTTGGGGCTTCCTCCGTGCACAAACTGCTGTTCTTGCAGATGGAAATGCTCGTCTTAAATGTCCCAAGGTATGGGATTGCTGCAGTTGTACAAAAACCTGTTGTAACCCATGCTGCTAAATTGTCTGAAAAATGTCTTCCAAATTTTGCCAAAACAGGATCACATGTTGTAACTGTTGAGAAGCAATGCAAATGTTTTTGCTCTTAAAATAATCGAGTTTAAGGTAAAAAATTTAAATTCGACTTGATCGATATCGAAAGAAGTTCAAAACTCGAATCCATTCGAACAATTTCTTACTAAACCTAAAGTTCAACATTCTTTTACCTATTTTATGATATATGTGAGATCTTCACGATCTCTACGTTTTAGTGAATTATTATTCTTCTCGAATGTTTTTATTTCACATTGATGTTATTTTCGTGCTTATATATTCTTATTGTTTAAAATTATAAAAATAGAAAATAAAGAAAATATTTAAAATCAGAAAACCAACTAATCGGCACGACATGGAACAAAACAGCTTCAATCACGATTTGTAAGATGCAACAGCCACCAGAAAAATTCAACGCAAAGATATCACACTACACGATGATTTTTCCTTAAGAAAGCGTGAATCTTTGCTTTTGCTCAAGAATAAGAAAATTTTCGATTCTAGATCCCTTTGAACAATGTTCGGCTTATGAATCACTTTTAACCTGTACGACCTGTGCAACTTGTCGCACCACCATCACCGTGCCGGCCTCCGAGTACCTCATTTCTGCGAAGACCCGATCGAACAACTCACTGTCCGAGCATAGCTCCAGTACTAAGTGAACGTCGATTTGATCTTCATAAACGTCGTGGAGTTCGATCATGTTCAGATGCGATGGAACTTTTTCGATGAACTTTCGCATCACAGGGATTCTCTAGTCAATAACACGTCGAAGATGGAAACTTGGTACTATGTCATCAATAACGCCGCCATTGAAGAAACTCTAGTTTTCTCGACTCAAGGTGATGACATCGCCGTAGTAGTGAATATTTTCAGATTTTTAATGGCGAATTCCCTGTATTTTCAAGATCTTCGGTACTTCTTTTTATACATTTTCTTACAACTAAGAGCTCACATAATTTGACTCTAAATAATTACAAATAATAATTAGAAACAAGAAGGTTGTTGTAATGGAGTAGAGATGTCTAAGAAACATGTATAAGATGAGTAATATTAGGGGTTGGGGAGAAACAATATTAAAAAATAGATAAATTGAAATGTTGTCCCTACGCTAAGTTGAATTTACAAAAAGATTCATAATCAATATTTTGTCTAAAGTTTAGGAGTTAAAATAAAAATTAAACCATTTCACTAACGAGACACTTCATCAAACGAACACCATTCAACCTCCAAGTGACCAAAACTTAATAAAACGATAACATAAGCGACCAAAACTTATATTTTTTGAATTTGGTGAGTAAAAAATGTACAAATATGAAAGAAAAGTGACTAAAACTTAATTCACGTATTATCTACGTGGAAATGATGTAATTTTAATTTTATATATTTACTGTGTCACGTTAGCAAACCATTAGAGGCTTAACTACTCTTAATTTTTAATGACTACATCTTAATTAAAACGAAACGCAATTAACCAAATATTATATTTTTAAAATTTAGTGAGAAAATGTATATAAAATCCAAGCGAAAGTGATAATTATGTAGATTATCCATTTTCTTCTTCTATAAATCCTGTGATATTGATCAAGTTTTGGTTGCGTGTAGGTATCAAACTATCAGTCAATTTCTGACATATAAATATGCCAAATAAAATAACCTCAAATTTGAGGGTAATAATCATGTAATGTGTGGTAAATGTGGTTTCATAGCTTGTCGTGGATACAAGGTGTCTTGATTTGGTACATTAATCGAATTGGTATTTTTTAATGATTTGATGAGCATATTGAAGTCTATAAAGACTCTATATTCTACATGTTTATAATATACTTTATAGTTGATTATGAGTCGGATAGGATCAAGTTTTCAACTCATTAAAATACATTTCAATTATAATACTTTTTATCTGACACTAACTCGATTCGGATTTAGAAAAATTTCATTCAGACTTGAAATATGATATAATTTTTAGAGTAAAATTTTGCACCCACACCTAACAAAAATATTATAACAATTATTCATGAATAGACCTGGTAAACTTGACTCGAACCCGATTACCCGAATCAATTTATCTAACCCAATACTTGATATTAACCTGAACATGATGATCAAATTTGATCTGAAATCTGAATCATACATGACCTGAATCATACCCGATCTAAAATTTAGGTGACCCAATATGGATTCATATCCAATTTGGCCCAAATCGAAAATAATTCGAACCGAAAGCAACCCGAACCAAAAAGCAACCCGAACCGAAAAACAACTCGAACCGACCCGTCCCGATTTACCATACATTCGAACTAAATCTGATATGTCCCGAATAAAATTAAATGAAATATAATCTAGACCTGAAATAATCCGACCCAAACCCGATCCGAATAACCCATTTACCACCTCAAGATTAATTATATCATTTTAAATTGGATCAATTGTTTTTCATCTTAAATTTGAATTTGATTGAATTTTTTTCTTTGAAATTCTGATCGACCTAATCCAAACTTAATCTTATCGGGTTAAACAAGATAAGAACCTGTTAAATTTGAATTAAATGCCCACCCTACAATTAAATATTCGTCAAAATCAGCACATGAACAGCAGGGCGCCGTCAATGTTGAAGCTCAGCATATTTACTGTGTAAAAATGTATCTTGTTTTAATTATGCATGCAGCATGTTGTATAACAGTACTGCCTACTTCTCTACACCATGCATGCACGTTCCTTTGGAAACGCTCCCGTGCGGCGTCTTAGTATACGATTAAAATAAGATGTTATCGATTTTTTTATTATTTTAAATAATAAAACCGGTAAAAAATGACCGGAAACATTATTATTTTAACTGGTTATAATTACCTATATAGGTAAACACAGTAAAAAATTCGGTCAAAAATGATGTTTTACCGGATTTTTTTACCGCATTTACCTATATAGGTAATTATAATTGGTCGAAATAATGATGTTTCCGGTCAGTTTTTACCGGTTTTATTATTTAAAATAATAACAAAACCGATAGCGTCTTATTTTAGCCGTATACTAAGGCGACACATTCCTTATTTACCGTGGTGGAGGATGAAACTATATCATTTTTTTTCAAATCATTTAGGAATAAAATATTTATTTGTTTCAATATTGTTTTAGATTATATAGATTATCATAATATTCAAGCACCAAAAGTTTTGATGATCAATGATTAAGGATAGGAGCGGACGGGTGGAGATAGTCTTCCTCCTTGAAAATTTTAAATTATTATATATTTTAAATTTTTTCTATTTATTTTCTATTTAAAATCTATTTTCATTCTCTGAAATCTTATAAGTTCAAGTTTGCCCCCAATATAAAATCCTACGTCTCCCTAATTAATGATGACTTTTGTAAAAGAAATAGTTTTATGACTAAAATAAAAGCTAAACAATAGGTTGATGACTTAATAGGGTATTTTACCCTAGTTTGTAATTATAAGAGTGAGTAAATCCATTATCAATGATTAATGATAGGAATGGACGGGTGAAGACTGACGTCCTTCTTAAAAATTTAAAATTATTATATATTTTTAGATTTTTTTCTATATATTTTTTATTAAAAATCTATTTTCATTCTCTGAAATTTTATAAGTTTAAGTTCATCCCCTGAAATTTCAAAGTTCAAGTTCACCCCTAACATAAAATCGTGCGTCCATCCCCGATTAATGACGACTTTTGTAAAAGAAATAGTTTGATGACTAAAATTAAAACTAAACAATAGGTTGATGACTCAATAGGGTAATCTAACCTAATTCGTAATTATAAGAGTAACCCCATTATAAATACCGCTACGAGTAGCAAATGTCTCCCATTCCCAGCACTGAAACCATCTTTCATCAATGGAGATCACTCCTTGGCTTCTTCCATCCATAGCATTGCTAGCTTCTCTAGCCTTCCTCTCCAGAATTTTCTCCGGCCGGCGGTGCAAACAACTAAAGTTTCCACCGGGCCCTAAATCCTGGCCTATCATCGGCAACCTTAATCTCATCGGTTCCCTCCTTCATCAATCTTTTCACAAACTATCCCGACGATACGGGCCATTGATGCACCTCAAATTCGGTTCCTACCCTGTAGTTGTTGCATCATCTTCTGAGATGGCCAAGGAGTTTTTGAAGAGCCATGACCAAATCTTTGCTTCTAGACCCCTAACTGCAGCCGGTAAATACGTTAATTATAACAACGGCAATATACTGTGGGCTCCGTATGGACCTTACTGGCGCCAGAGCCGCAAGATTTACCTAAACGAGCTGTTCAGCTCGAAAAGACTCGAATCCTTTCAGTTCATCCGAGTTGAGGAAATGCGGGCTTTTGTCTCCCGCTTGCATGGATTATCAGGTAAGCCTGTTGTGCTTAAAAACCACCTCGTGTGTCTTACTCTCAGTGTTATAAGCAGGATGGTGTTTGGGGAGAAGCCTTTCAGTGTGTCATGTGATGATCGGCTTGGATCGAATTCGATAACGAGTCTGCCGGAGTTAGAAGAGAATGTAGACGAGCTGTTAATGTTGAGCGGAGTGTTGAATATTGGGGATTGGATACCTTGGCTAGACTTTCTGGACTTGCAGGGCTACGTAAAACGAATGAAGGCTTTGAAGAAAAAACTTGACCGATTCCATGATCATGTGTTCGATGAACATAAGCGGAGAAAGAATGAATTAGCGAAGGATTTTGTAGCACAAGACATAGTTGATTTTTTGTTGCAGCTAGCTGATGATCCTGATCTTGACGTTAAACTCACTTATGATCATCTCAGGGGCCTCACACTAGTATATACCTATATCTTGCTCATTCTTTCTATTTCTAAAATGATGCCTATTTCTAATTGATGGAAGTCACGGTTTGATAACAGGACCTGATAGTTGGAGGCACGGATACCTCAGCAGTAAATGTCGAATGGGCAATCTCAGAACTGATCAAACAACAGCAACTCATCGGGAAAGCTACCGAAGAGTTAGACAGAGTGATCGGGAGAGAGAGATGGGTAGAAGAGAAAGACATCCCACAGCTTCCTTACATAGATGCAATCATGAAAGAAACAATGAGGAAACACCCGGTTGCTCCATTGCTAGCACCACATTTGGCCATGGAAGATTGCAAAGTGGCCGGATACGATATTCACAAGGGAACTCGAGTCTTCATAAACACCTGGAGCATCGGGAGAGATCCTTCCCTGTGGGAACAACCGGAGGAATTCCGGCCTGAGAGGTTCCTAGGGACGAACATTGATGTGAAGGGGAGAGCCTTTGAGTTGTTGCCATTTGGTGCTGGGAGAAGAATATGCCCTGGCTACAACCTTGCATTAAAGATGGTTCAATTGAGCATAGCGAACTTGTTGCATGGCTTCAACTGGAAATTGACTGATGATACTAAAGTAGAAGATTTGAGCATGGAAGAAGCTAGTGGATTGACAACACCCAGAAAGTTTCCACTTGTTGCAGTCATGGAGCCTCGTCTCCCACTTCATCTCTATAAAATTTGAATTCTACATAAATCCATGTCCTTGGTATTACCTACAAAATAACAGTGTTAATTCTAATAAAATGTGTGCTCTTGTTCATCAATTCTAATAAAATGCTTAGGACTATGCTTAAGTTTACTCATCTCAGCTTGATTATTTGTTAGTTTTTTCTAAGGATAATATTGAATAATACTCTTGTACCTCGGAGTTATTCCTCCAAATTCTCTATCTAATGAAACAATTAAAATAAATAAATTATCTGACCCTATTCCCATATGTAATAGGGTGAGAGGGAGAGAAGGTAGTAGGCTGCCCCCAACGGGTTGAGAGCAGCTTCCGAAGATCTCCGGCAGTCAGAATTATGAATATAAACTATTTTAATTGAAGGAATTTTACTACGGAAAGGAAGAACATAGTGGTAACTAAGACGGTAAATCTCTCTTATATGTATGTGTGTATTCGACTTAGGTTAAAGTAATGTAATGTATGTGTGTGAGTGAAAAATATATATGAGAGACTTGAGAAAGCTTAGTAAAGTTATAATGGGTGTTTGTAAAACTAGTTGAAGCTAGTATTGTACTGAAGTTTGGTTCGTATCAATAATATGTACGAGTTAAAAGTATATCGAGTGTCTACCAACGCTTTCAACAAAATAATTCGAACTTGTGCTAATTATGAATTCACTTTTCAATAGTAGTTAAAATCTTTTGAAGGTTTCCAACCGGCTTCGAGATCATGCAAAAAGTCTGCAGTCTCTAATGACCTTGAATACCATCTTTTGTCCCTACGAACAGGGAGAAATTTGGCAAAGATCTGCAGATGACGGTAAACTATTAGTCACCCAACTTTTAATATGTTTCCATTGTGGTCACTCATCTTTTATTTTTTTAGTTTATCATTGAATTTTCGAATTTACTTGTTTTGATCACTTGATCATTAAGTGTTCAACGCCAACATCAAAACAGCATGTTTTTGGGTTTTATATTTATGAAATTGACCTAAACTTTTAGTCTTCTTCTTCTTCCCCATAGTTGGCATCCTTTTCCACCATCGTTTGATGATCGTCGATCGTCATTTGTAATGAACTAGTACCAAAAAATTTCCCTTTTGTCTTTTTTTTTTCTCAATTTGGTTTCTTTAAAATTAACAAAACTCGAATAAAAACTTTATACTAACTTGGTTTCATATGTAATCTCCATCATTGGATCAAATGTAAAATTAAAATATATTATTTTCTCATTAATCACAGCCTCAGATGATTTGAATTTGAAAGAAAAATACTCCAAAACTCGTGAATCAAAGGGACTCCAAAAATTTGAGATTGAGAGAAAATTTTAAGGCGGTTTTGCATAAATTTACCTAGAAAATAAACAACACCAAAGATTTAATTGTCAAGTGACCTAAAAGAGTGATATTAAAAATTTAATGATAAAATTGAAATATTTGAAAGTTAGGTGGCCAAACTAGAGATATGCTAAAAGTTATGTGTAAAAATGTACTTTACCCATATATAATACATTAACTTTACTCTTTTAAATCATAACAAAATATTAGAATAAGGGAATGTCTAAGGGATGAAACCAAATTTAAGACAGGCCAATTTAAGGTTAAGGAACAATAGAAAAGGGATACAACCGAAAATGTTATAAAAAAACATAATATTTTCTGTTAGAAACAACTTAAAATATTAAATTTTCTTAATATTTTTCGATCGCACACTACCTCCTTCACAACACATTCGGTTTAACTGAAAATATTAAAAACTTAACATTTTAAATTGTGCCCAACTAAATTTTTTATGTTTTTTATAATATATTCAGTTACGTTTATTCTCTTTCGTTTTTTAATCTTAAATTAAGTCGTCCTACAATAAAATTTTCTATTAGAATAAGGTTAGGATCAAATTTGGATGGGCGTAGGTATCAATCAATTTCCGGCACATAAAGCTTTATATTAACTTGGTTTGATATGTAATCTCCATCGTTTATCAATGTAAACTTAAAATATATTATTTTTCTCATCATTCACAACCTTAGACCATTTGAATTTGAAAGAAAATGCTCCAAAACCGGTGAATCAGAGGGCCTTCAAATATTTGAGAATGAGTAACACACGTCGTTATTATGTCAAAATAAATAGCCTTAATCTCAACAAAATAAATAAGAATAAGTAGAATAGTGAGAGTAAAGGTTGATCCACAGGGACTAGGAGTTTGACGATTTCCTCGCTTTTGATCTTGCTTCAGGCGTGATTTGTAAAAGAAATTAGAGGGGAGATTTTGGAGAGTTGAAGTGAAGTAATAAAAATGATTGAAATAAAATAAGATAGTAAATTAAGAAAATAAAATTCAATTGTTAAAAATCAGCCTTGGGCTAAAGCTTTTGCCTCGATTTTAATCGATCATTGAATAGGATTTTACCTCCAAGCTCATGTTGGTTACAGTCTACAGGGCACAACCCCTGTAACTTGTTTTTCTCTCAAATGAATCAAGAATCTAAAATCAATTTTCAGATCTCAACTCTTTGTGAGTTAATAGCGACAATCACTTATTAATTCAACGCTTTTAAATTCTAGAAAACCCGACTTGGATTCTATCGTCTCAATTGAGAATCTAACCCGATTTCAGTTTCCCTTAGCGGACTGCCGCTAAGTGTGTTCACAGAAAGTCGAATGTGTCACAGGCTGATGCTTCCTCCCAACTATTAATCGAAATTGAAATTCAATTCCAACGTGCGCTTTTGAAATGAAATCGCTTTGATTGTAAAAGGATGGTCCATTACCTATCCTTGATTTTTGAAAACTGAAAATGTAACCCTTGGGGGTATGAAGTGCTTTTCGATCCTCACGACTTAGAATCGAGTCATTGCTTTAGCATTTGGCTATGAAAAACTTAGCTAAGCATGATTGAATTCATGCTTAGCATTTTAAGAAAGTAAACTAAAAACTTGAAAAGAAAAAAAAACTTTTATAAAAACTTAAAGAAAGAAACAAGAGTTGAATGAATTTTGATTGAAGAAATCAATGATTATAGGTTTACCTTAATAAGGTATTATAGTCCTAAAAAACCTAAAAGAGAACATTTAAAACTAAAAAAGATAATTCCTAAAATAAATCATAATTTGAATTCAAAAATTCGGGTGAGCCTTTGGTCTTCACTCCACTACTGACTGGGTCTTCTAGAAGCTGTTGAATGGTTGCCACGTCAGTTGCCACATCATCACCACGTCACCTGCCACATCAGCTGCTGACTAGATACCATTTCGGGTGTGTCATGTCCTAAGTCGTGCCTACTAATCCGATCATGAATCTAGAAAAATAAAAAATTGCACAATTTCGTTGTTCTTAGTATAATTTCTGGAATTCAATGTCCTGTATCGAAAATGAATGAAAAGACCCAAGTTAGCAACTAAAATTATCTAATCAATGAGTAATTAATCATGAAATAATGTATAATTTAAACACTAATAAATGAGGGAAAATTTTAAGGCGGTTTAGCATGAATTTACGTAGAAAATAAACAACAAAGACTTAATTGTCAAGTGACCTAAAAGAGTGATATTAAAAAATTAATGATAAAATTGAAAATTTTGAAAGTTAGGTGACCAAACTAGAGAGTACGCTAAACGTTAGGTGTGTAAAACTGTACTTTACCCATATATAATACATTAACTTTTCTCTTTTAAATCACAAAGAAACATTAGAATAAGTTTAATGCTGGATCAAATTTTGGTTGGGCGTAGGTATCAATCAATTTCCGGCATGTAAAGCTTTAGTCATTAATTAGTCTAATCATGTTATGTGTTGGATAGTGTCACTTTCATATATATTAATTTGATATTTAATTGATTTAGTTTGGATTTAATTGTTTTTTTTATCTACTAATTTAAAAGCATGTTTTGTGTGGGTACAATACTTTTTGTCTCGGGTTTTGTGTTAATTCGGATTGAATCATGCCGTACACCAAGTTTTTTTTGGATGAATCTTTCTGTGGAGTTTTTTTGCATACATAAAGACTCAAATTTGAGACTTGCTTAAGCGATATTAAACTACTTATCACTTGAATCAATCCATGTTAATGAATTATATTCAAATTAAAAATTAATTCAATTTATATGATAAAAATTTGAACCGACACCCAATTCTAACACAGTTATATAAAAAATTTCATTTTTTGTTAAATGAAATAAGAATTTATTTGAAAAATATACATATATAAATATTACTGTAATTATCCCTATATTATTGAATCAAATATTCACCTTATAATTAATAGACTTAAATATAATTATTTTTTCCATGTCATATAAGTTAACAAAAAAATCGAGCAGCATAAATTTTAACAGCCAATTATTAAAATAGGGAAAGAAGATAACGTTAATAATGCTTTTGTAAAAAAAATAATTTGATGACTAAAATTGAAAAGAAATAATTGGTTGATGACTTTTTGTGTAATTTACCCTAGTTTGTAATTATAAGATTGAGTATCTCCATTATAAATACCGCTACGTGGAGCAAATGTTTGCTATTCCCAGCACTGAAACCATCTTTCATCAATGGAGATCACTCCTTGGCTTGTTCTATCCATAGCATTGCTAGCTTATCTGGCTTTCCTCTCCATAATTTTCATCGGCCGGCGGAGCAAACAACCAAAGTTCCCACCGGGTCCTAAATCCTGGCCTATTATCGGCAACCTTAATCTCATCGGTTCACTCCCTCATCAATCTTTTCACAAACTATCCCGACGATATGGGCCATTGATGCGCCTCAAATTTGGTTCTTACCCTGTAGTGATTGCATCATCTCCAGCGATGGCCAAGGAGTTTTTGAAGAGCCATGACCAAATCTTTGCTTCTAGACCCCCAACTGCATCCGGCAAATACGTTAGTTATAACTACAACGATATGTTGTGGGCTCCGTATGGGCCTCAATGGCGCCAGAGCCGCAAAATTTACCTGATCGAGCTGTTCTGCTCGAAAAGACTCGAATCCTTTCAGTTCATCCGAGTTGAGGAAATGCGCGCTTTTGTGTCCCGCTTGCATGGATTATCAGGGAAGCCGTTTGTGCTTAAAAAGCACCTCCTACGTCTTACTCTCAGTATTATAAGCAGGATGGTGTTTGGGGAGAAGCTTTTAAGTGTG